GCAGAGAGGCTGATGATCGCATCGGTCAGTCCCTGCAGGACATCTGCACAGCGCCCGCCACTAAACTCTGCTTGACCGAGTTTGCAGTGGTGCAGAAGTCTGTGCAGCTAATTGGCACCAGTGAGGATGCCATCAACGTGCAGATCCTCGAAGATGCCCACAAGGTGGACCCAAAGGGCTTGAAAAGCTGTACTTGCCCCTTGAACCAAACCTTCCGGCTGCCCTGCAGGCACATCCTGGCTGTGCTGAACTCAGACAGGCGGGTCTCGCAGCCAGAAATGCTGAGCAAACAGTGGCAGAAGGGACCTGGTGGCTGTCAGGCAGGGCCAGAAAGCACCAATGGCTTCTCAGAGGTTCTAAACAGCTCCTGGGAGAAGTCTCTGGATAAATCCCTGGTTGTGTCCTTTCTCACCAAAGAGATCAGCCGCCTTCTGACCCAGTGCAGTAGTGAGGAGTTTGATCGTAGGTACAACACCCTGCGGGAACTGGCTGACAGCTGGATTGGACCTTACGTGGAAGTGAAGCTGTAGCTCTGACGCTGCTGCTTCCTAGCCCCTTCTGCTTGTGCCTTGCAGCTCTCTGGGGCATGTGGGCAGAAGCAAGATGTAAAATGCTGGAGCAACATCAGTTCAAAGCCACACGTCCTCCCTTTCGTCCTCTCAGAAACCCAGTGGTGGGAGATGGGCAACACAGTGGGGTCTCCCTGGCTTTAGAGTGCCCCTAGCACCTGTTGAATGAACATTGCCCCTGCTGGGGAGATGGAGGGACCTGAATGTGGGACTCCTGCCCAGGTGGCAATGGACCAACCACACTGGCCCAGCTGATAGTGGAACAGGGGCAGCATGGGGCAACCTGGGCCCCCATTGTCTGAACCAGGGCTTGTTCATTCAGGCCCATTCCAGGTGCCCAGTCACTGCACTAGGCATGGGCAGCTTATCTGTGACATGTATAACACTTGCAGTTAGGCAGGGAGCTGAGTACCTCCTTGCCAGCCCTTCCCCTCCCTGCCTCCTTGGCAGCTGGGGCTCCTTGCCTAGCTTGGAAGGCAGGCTGTGCTCGCATGAGGCCAGGCTCTATTTTTAAACTGCATTGTTAGTTCCCCATCTTCTCATTTCCCTATGCTGTAGTCGGCCGAGTGAACCTGCCTGTTTGGGAGCAGCAAAGGCTGTGAGGAACAGCCTACCCATAGCTCCCACAGCAGGCACTAGGGTTACGTGGGCCAGAGGTGGCAGCTGCCCTTACACTTGCTGGGGAACTAGTGCACACTCCCCTTGACAGCCTTGGACTGGGAGAAGGGGATGAATGGGTGTACCCGTGGCTGCCGCTTGCAGCCAGGCAGTAAGTGCAGACTGAAGGCTTGCAGGGTGCTGCAGGGAGGAGAAGGGGGTGCTGATAGTGGCAGGACCTGCTGCATGCTTGAGGATAAGCTGCTCTGAAAGAAGCAGCTTCAGGAAAAGAGACGCCATGGGCGGGAGATGGAGATGCTGCTTTGTTGCAGCCAGCAGGGGGCAGCCAGGGGAGCAGGACTGCACTGGGAGGTCGGCTTGTCGTCCCGTCCCCCCCCCCCCCCCCCCCCCCCGCGCC